TACCTGTTTGAGAAGTGGCATTATGTAAAGACACTGAATGTAAATATTAGCAGGCCGATTGGTGAAGGAAGCTAAAATTTGAAAACAATGCATTGCATATAGCCCTGATTAGCCAATGAAAAGGGTAGCGTTGTACGCCAATTACCATTTTTCTCTTTTATTAGTGTAGATGCCCATACTGGTATTTCTACATCTATGACACACATTTGCTTTACTTATAATGTCCTTCCCTCTGGCTCTGTTTTCTCCATCCATATTTTTCCCTGTTGAGTTGCAACTCATCAGTGGGTAAACAGCTAAAATATCACTTTCTTAGTGAAACATCCCTAAGCCTCTTAATAAAGCATTCCCTCTCAAACAAGGTGCTATGACATGGGTAGATAAGAATGGGTAGTCAGGCAAACACGGGATCAAACTATAAATCCATGCACTTTGTGTCTCAAGTCCCTCAACTACAAAATGAGAATAATGATATCACCTACACACTACAGGATATTAAGAGGATTAAATTAGCACATGTAGCTTTTAAAATCAGATAAAATGGGGGAGCCCTTCAAGGTTTAAACAGAAAGTATAACATTGTCTCCTGGGATTTATAATGTATATAGGAGAATATGTCATATGTAAGATGACTATAGCATAAAGGATGCTGAAGTGGGGAGTAGACAAACCCTATACTGTTGCAAGGTTTCTACATTTTACAATATAGTATTAACTCAAAACAGATTTTTTATTTTATTTTTTTTTATTTCTTAAAGTATTACAAAGAGTATTAGACATGTCTCCTTTTTTCTCCCCCTTGACATTCCCCTGGCTTCCCCCACCCCCCAGTGTCTTGTGTCCATTGGTTATTCTCATAAGCATGCATATAAGTCCTTCGGTTGATCTCCTACTCCCCCCAACCCTCCTGAGGGTTCCCACTGTAGTTTGACATTCTGCTCAATGCTGATCTGCCTCTGTATCCTTTTTTGTTCATCAGTCTATAATGTTTCTTATTATCCATAAATGAGTGAGTTCATGTGGTATTTTTCTCAGCTCCCAGGGGCCATCTCAGCCTCACAGCGGACGTCCCCACCCGACAGGGGCCATCCCAGCCTCACCGAGGCCGTTTCAGCCTCACAGGGGCCACCTCAACCTCACAGAGGCCATTTCAACCTCACTGGGCCGTTTCAACCCCACCGGGGCCGTTGCAAGCTCACCGGGGCCGTCTCAACCTCACTGGGGCCGATTCAGCCTCACTGGGGCTGAACCTCACCGGGGCCATCTCGACCTCACCGGGGCCGTCGGAATCCCACTGGGGCCGTCTCAGCCTCACATGGGCCGTCTAAACCTCATAGAGACCTTCTCAACCTCACATGGGCCATTTCAACCTCACCGGGGCTGTTTCAGCCTCACTGGGGCCATTTCAGCCTCACCGGGGCCATTTCAACCTCACCGGGGCATTTGCAACCATAACAGACTTTTTAAAGTTACAAATGTATACTGTAATTCCCAAATCAATAAAAAATGGAATTCTAATTTTTAAATGATTGTTAAGCAGATGAAAGGTAAAATATTATAGTAACATGCAGTTATATATTCCTCACTTTTATATTTTATAATGTCAAACAAACACACAAGGCACTTATTTTTAGAAAAGCTGATTACAAAAAAGCTTTTTATAGTTCACTGCATAGAACTTTAAGTACTTTCAATTCTGATCCTTCTCTTGTTGCAGTATTTTAATCATTATACAACTGAAAACTGAAAGTCAGAGGCAATCTTTTTCATAACATATAAAAAGTTTTCATAATCTGGTCAAGTTCACAAAACAAATATGTTGATTTTTTGTGGTCTATGAAGAAATCTCTATTGGTGCAGAAGAAAGTGCAGAACATGCTGCATTAAGCCTGCATTCCTGAACTGCACACTTTTCAAAGTTCCTTTCTATCATCAGGTTCTAAGTGTAGCAATGACACTTGTCTTATTAACTAGCCAAATACAGGAGCAGTTTACCATTACTTTTATCTCTACATCAAAAGTCAGTACTAAAAAAATCACAACAGCATAAAAATAAGTTAGGTAACTAAGGTATGACTTTTCTTATCAATTTTATTATTTTCTTCTGAACTTGGGTAAAAAATAAAGTTAAAAATCCTTATATTTTCATAGGCTTTTGTTAAGAATGCTAACAAAAATCTACTCTGACTAAATGTGATGACATACAACTAAGTGATTTCAAAATCCAGAGGGACGCCTACAGTTGATCCTAGATGACACTTTTTAAAAAAAAAATTAGCTTTGCCGAAACCGGTTTGGCTCAGTGGATAGAGCGTCGGCCTGCGGACTGAAAGGTCCCAGGTTCGATTCCGGTCAAGGGCATGTACCTGGGTTGCGGGCACATCCCCAGTAGGAGATGTGCAGGAGGCAGCTGATCGATGTTTCTCTCTCATCGATGTTTCTGACTCTCTATCTCTCTCCCTTCCTCTCTGTAAAAAATCAATAAAATATATATATATATATAAAAAAAAATTAGCTTTATTGTTCAAAGTATTACAGATCTTCCCTTTTTTCCCTAGATGACACATTTTCATTAAACATAAAGTTCTTTACAAACAGGGTTTTCAATGATACACTTTTCAGAAAGTAGTATAAAAAAAAACCATTCTATTTCATCTTATTGTACTTTATATGCATTTTATATATTTCTTGTGGCTAAATGATAGCAACTATAATAAAATTAGGTTTCATGTATTTTGTAACATCTAGATGAAAAGAAGAAAAGTAGCTCTTAACTTTAATATTGCTGATCTATGTCCTGAATCTTTTGAGCAGGAGAGTAACCTAACTTCTATGCCAAATGATCAATCAATCAAATCCTCTTGCCAGTGTTCACTCCACTTCTTGTCCTTTGAAGTCTAGTCTGGACAGACACATATCCACTAACTTCTGTATCAACAGAAGGCAGAGTGGTGTAGTGGAAAGAACACTGGACTGAAAGTCAGGAACTCTGTGTTCTCCTTCCAGCTCTGTCAACTACTCTTGTCCAAGTGTCCCTGGGCAAGTCACTTAATCATTTTGGGTCTCAGTTTCCTCATCTGTAAAATGGGGGGATTAGATTAGAAAATCCCTAAAGATGTCCCCACAACTGAGAGTCTAGATTAACCAAAAAGTGCTATATATCAAACAGATCATTAATTCTTCCTTCTCTTATAGAAACAAGTCCCTTTGTGGACAGATATGCAGTTTTCACTTGCACTGAAAGCTGTATTTGAGAGCAGTGCTTCTCAAACTTCAATGTGTATACAGAGTCATCCAGGATTTTGATAAAAGGAAGATAATAAATCTATGGATGCCAAATTTCTAACAACCTGATGGTGATGATGGTCAATGAACCAAATTTTGAGTAACAAGCTCTAGAAAAGGTTTTTGAGGCATAGAAATTACTATAATGCTATCCTAATATCCTTCCTTAATCTTCATTTGACGATAAGTTTATTGATTTGAGAGAGAGAGAAAGAGGGGGAGGCAGGGAGGGAGTATACACCCCTGGACTAAGGATAGAACCCGCAACCTCAGTTTGCGCCCTAACCGGCCTCCTGTGGGGACTGCACCCAAAACCTAGGTATGTGCCCTGACTGGGAATCAAACCCACAACCTTTTTGGTGTACCGGGCAACACTCCAACCAACTGAGCTACCCAGCTGGGCCCCTTTTATTTTTTATATGACATTAATTAGACATCAGTCTCATTACATAATTTTTTGAAAAGGAAAGTTAAGCCTTTTGGTCAGTCATATTTATTAGGAGAAAGGAAAAAGATGAAGCCACTGGTCAGGTTTTATGAAGGGAAGAAATGCTTCATGTGCTTCTCTTCCCATTGACCCCTTTAATATTGCTGATCTATGTCTCCCTCTCACTTTTAATATAGGTATTCATAAATTTCTTTAAATTTTAAGGATATCCCTATTTTTGATGATAGCATTAAGAGCATTTAATAAGACTTGATGTAATAAAGTAATTCTGTCTATATTAGAACTAAATTTTAAAAATTTTTAATTGCAAATGTTACAGTAAATTCATTTATAAAAAAGGAGAAACAGTGGGAACGTAGAAGTTAGAACACATTAATATTCCACCCTATTTTTATGGCTCCTCGAAATTCAAGATTATTATTAACAAAAAATCCTTCAAAGTAATTGGGTTTGGAGGGGTGAAAAATTCAAATAAATATGGCTACTTCAGAAAAACACTGTAGCATACATACAACTTTACAAAATACCTGAGAGCCAATAGCTGGAAACGTAACTCCTTGTTCTTTAAGGTTCTTAATCATTGCCGATATTAGACTGAGCTGTGGATCATTCTTAAATTCATCTGTCCATTCAACCATAAGGGCCTTTAATTTTTCACACACTTTAGGATGACCCTGGAAGTAGAGAAAATAATTAAGATTTTATCTGGAAATAGTCACTGGATAGAAAAATATATCTGGAAATAATCAGTTGATAGAGAATTATCACTAAGCCAAATCTGTTTGAATTGTAAGTCACTTTAAATGGTTTTGCTATTTAATTTTTGTATGGTTAATGTTTTCATTAAAGTTTTTCATACCAAAAATATTACGAAAAAGTATACTAATTTCTGACCAATGATTTAATACAGTGGGGCCTTGACTTACGAGTTTAATTCGTTCCGTGACGGAGCTCATAACTCAAATTACTCGTATGTCAAATCATTAAAGTGAACGAGTGAGACACGTGATGCTGGGCTGATGTGGTGTTCACTGTGACGTTCGCTGCGCCAACTAGCAGTGGGGTATCTGAAGCTGGCTCATAACCCGAATTTTAGCTCGCAACTCAAAGCAAAAAATCAGCTGAGAGACAGCTCGTATCTCGAAAAGCTCGTTAGTCGGGACACTCGTAAGTCAAGGCCCCACTGTATCAATATCTTAAATATAAGAATTCTGAAGTGTTATAATTTTCTTTTTAAATCACCCCTGCTGGCCCGGTCGCCCCTTACTGTTCCCCCCGCCCCCGACTTGGTCACCCCACGCAGCCTGCTGTTCAGTTGTTTGGCTGTCCCTCACTAACCCCCCTGCCGGCCTGGTCGCCCCACGTAGCCTGTTGTTTGGTCATCCATCCAATTGTTTTGGTCGTGACGGCCCCTAGCTTTTTATATATTAGGATAGCATTATAGTCTCTTTATAAACAGTGATACATTTTGATGGCTATCAGGACATTATAAGAACGGTTACTGCCCTGGCCAGAAAGCTCAGTTAGACTGTGGTCCCATACATCAAAATCTGTGGGTTTGATTCCCGGTCAGAACACATACCTAGGTTGCAGATTTGATCCCCAGTCAGGGCTCATATGCACCAGATAATCAATTGATGTTTTTCTCTCACACTAATGTTTCTTTCTCTTTCTCTCCCCACCCCACTCCTCTCTCTCTCTAAAAATCAATAAAAACATATCCACAGGTGAGGATTAAAAGAGAAAAAAAAAAATAATGGTTATTAATTAGTAGAAAATATCTAAATACAACTTAATAAAGCAGAACAGGTAAAATATTTTTATGTAATCATGTTTGAAAAGTACAGAATTTTACATTTCTTATATCTCATTTCTGTACTGTTTTCTACAAAAACCTAAAAATACTTATTTTTCCAAAAAAGGCATTTTTGCCTGGCCAGCATGACTCAGTGACTGAGCATTAGCCCATGAACCAAGAGGTCATGGTTAGCTTCCAATCAGGGTACATGGTCAGGGCATATGCCCAGGTTATGGGTGCGATCCCCAGTGAGGGGCATGCAGTAGGCAGCCAATCAATGTTTCTCTCTCATTGATGTTTCTATCTCTCTAACCCTCTCCCTTCCTCTCTATAAAATCAATACAAAAATATATTTTTTAAAAAGGCATTTTCCCTTTTAATCTTAAAAAATTTCTTTCTTGATATAATACATCCCCCACCCTCACCCCCACCCCCACCCCAAAAAGCCAGAAATGATTACCTTTAGAATACAGATTTTTACTGGGAAAACTCACATATTACTTAGAAACTTACATTTTTTAAAGTCCTTAAATTTCAGGATTTGAATTCTTTTTCTGTACTCATTAAGTAAATATATAGTATTAAAATCCTATAATGGTCAAGCAGTAGCCTTATTCATATAAAGTTGAAACTCAACAGTATTATATTTTGGAAATATTTCTGAACAATTCTACATTGAGAAAATAATTCTGTGGCTACAAAATTATTCTGTGGTAAAAAAAAACTGTGCCTAAAAATTGACTGGTATTATTTAATCAGAGAAATACACATATTTACTTATCAGATAAAAGGAATGATAAAGAGGTTCAATATACTCTAATTTGGTTGGAAAAAAAACAACTCTCGAAATTATAAATGTGTAGTCCCCTTAGCAAAACATAGTATCTACTTATATACTGGATAGAATATAGCCTAGAAAAAGTGTTTTTTTTTTGTGGGTTTTTTGTGGGTTTTTTTTTTAAAAAGGACAAACTAGTCCTTTTATGATTTAAAACAGCAGTCGACAACCGATGGTTCGCAGACCACTGGTGGTCCTGAGGTCCGAAAGGTTGGCAACCACTGGTTTAAGGAAACCTTTGGAGCAGTGGTCGCCAATCAGTGGTCCGTGAGGTCCGAAAGGTTGGCAATCACTGATTTAAAATGTGAGGAACTGACAATAAAATACATTAAAAAAAATCACTGTCTTAATTCATTTCTGGGGATAATGTTCCTTACCTTGTTTAATACGTTGCTTACTTCACTAGCAAAATCTCTTGAACATACTTCTAAGTGAAAAATTTTGCCACAGTTTGATACACATGCTCCTAGAAGCTAAAAACATAAATTCCAAAGTTAAAAGGGCTCAATTTCAGCAGGTAATTTTGTGATAGAACCTAAAATCAAATCACTCACAGTCAGAGCTTGCATAGCAACATGAGGATCTTTATGGTTCACCCTCCTCATAATAGACCGAAGACAATCTTTAGGTCTAAAAAATGAGAAATGTAACACTCAATTAGTAGTACATCAGCCCCACCCCTCAACTATCATAGGCAATAGGGAGAATATGGTAAAGAAGTTTAATTTTTATTAATGGCACAACTGAAACATCGTAGGCTGACAAGTTCCTTTAAATTTTTCAAACAAGATTAACAGACTCTCTTCCTTAGCAATCACAGATGAGGCATTTTAGGCTAATTCTGAGTGAAAAAAGTTTTGAAAATGATAAGACCAAGACTTTCACTTCTAGTCATGACAGAATAATTGGAACCAGACTTATACTCCTGCTATAAACAATTACAAAGCTAGAAAAACATATGTAAAATATACATTGAGGAACCTGTTTAGTATGCAAGATCACAGGCAGTGTATAATGATGATCTCTAAGAAGGAAGACAAATTGAATAAGCTAGACTTTTGCCTCAATTTCTGCCTAGAGACATTTTCCAGATAGCAATACAAGCTTCCTGCTTTAAAACAGTTTCTGGATCTCAGTAAAGAGAAGGTGATTCCAAGAAGAGAACATTATCTCACTGAGTTGAGAGGACAGAAATCAGAACTCAAAAGGCCGAGGGAGCTAAAATTTGCAAGACAGAGTAGAAGGAACTACAAGTATATGAAGAAAGGGTTCTATATACCAACATAAGGGTCCATTTCAATCTGCTGTGGGAAAATCCAGGCATACAAAGGTTAAAAACTCCACAAGGCTGGGCAAAAAATGTGATCTATGTGTTGAAGAGCCAAACACAAAAGGACAAATGATATATGACTCCACTTATATGAAGTACCTAAAACAAGCAAATACAGAGACAGAAAATAGAACAGGAGTCACCAGTGGCTAGGAGCAGGGGGGAACGAAGAGTTCTTATTAATGTAGACAGAGTTTGTTTGGGATTATTAAAAAAGTTCTGGAAATGAATAGTGGTGACAGCTGCACAGTACAGTAAATGTACTGAATTACACTGAATTGTACACCTAAAAACTGTTAAAATAGTAAATTTCATGTTACTTGTATTTTGCCAAATAAAAGGGGGGGAGGAAGAGAATGAAGTACTGATACATACTACAACATGGATGAACATTATACTAAATGAAGCTGGTCACAAAAAACAACAACACATATTTTATGATTCAACCACATAGTGTATGATTCCATTTATACAAAATGTCTAGAATAGGTAAGACCATACTGATAGGAAGTAAATTAGTGGTTTATAGGGCTGAGGAGAGATGGGAATGAAAGAAAGTGCTAAGGAATACAGGGTTTATTTTGGGGGTGATAAATATTCTGAAATTAGATAGTAGTGACAGTTGCACAAACATCTGAATATACTAAAAACTAATGAATTGATAGATTTCATGGTTTGTGAAATAAATATGTAAATATAAATATACAAACAAGAGAAAAAACATTATCAAATGATTTGAATTCTAATGAGCCCTAGAAATTTTGACCAGTAAAAATAATTATCCTAGGAAAATTCTTTAAGAATGGAAAAAACAATTACCAAGCACTGTGATAAAAAGGGGAAAGAAAACCCTTCTTAACAGAGAAAAATTAGAATAAAAAATAGAAACATCTGTTCCTAAGGATGTTTCATTGTCTGTTGGGAAGTTTTACTTGAAGAGCATGGGATAAGAGGAAAAATATAAATAAAAGAGGTAATGTTTATTGACTACTCATTATGTGTCAAGCATTCAACTATCAATGATCCTAAAGCATCTACTACTGCTCTTCAGTGACTGAAGGTAATACACTTTCATTCTGCATATTGCGTAGAATAGTGCCGTCAGTATGGTTGGTGCTCAATAAAAAGCTGTAGAAATATCAAGCTATACTCTAAAGCCACTGTAATCAAAACAGCCTGGTACTGGCACAAGAAGAGGCATATAGATCAGTAGGACAGAATAGAGAACCCAGAAATCGACCCAAGCCATTATGCTCAATTAATATTTGAAAAAGGAGGCAAGAATATACCATGGAGTCAAGACAGGCTCTTCAATAAATGGTGTTGGGAAAACTGTTCAGATCCATGCAAGAAAATGAAACTAGACCATCAATTTACACCATGCACAAAAATAAACTCAAAATGGATAAAAGACTTAAATGTAAGTTGTGAAACCATAAAAATCCTAAAAGAAACCATAGCAGCAAAATCTCAGACATCTCTCGTAGCAATATGTGTGTGGCTACATCTCCTAGGCCAAAGGAACAAATGAGAAATAAACAAATGGGACTCCATCAAAATAAAAAGCTTCTGCACAGCAAAAGAAACTATCAACAAAATGAAAAGAAATTCCACTGTATAGGGGGACATATTTGGCAATGATACATCTTAGAAGGGTTTAATTTCCAAAATATATAGAAAAATTCATACAAACTAACAACAACAAAAAAAAAGACAAACAATCCAACTAAAAAACGGCCAAAGGGCCTAAATAGACACTTCTCCAAAGTGGACATACAGATAGCCAAGAGACATATGAAAAAATGTTCAAAGTCACTGATCATCAGAGAGATGCAAATTAAAAGGACAATGAGGTAACACCTCAAACCTGTCAGAATGGCTACCATTAACAGATCAACAAATGACAAGTGCTGGTGAGGATGTGGAGAAAAGGGAACCCAAAAAGCTAGGGGAATGCAGACTGATGCAGCCACTATGGAAAACAGTGTGGAGTTTCCTCAAAAATTTCAAAATAGAACTGCCATTTGACCCAGTGATCCCACTTGTAGGAATTTATCCTAAGAAACCTGAAACAACAATCAGAAAGAATGCATGCACCTCTATGTTCATAGCAGCACAATTTACAATAGCTAAGATCTGAAAACAGCCCAAGTGACCATGAGTAGATGTGGATAAAAAAAGTTGTGGTAAATCTACACGGAATACTATGAAGCTGTAAAAAGGAATGATCTTTTATTCTTTGAGATAGCATGGAGGGACTAGAGAGTATTGTGCTAAATGAAATAAGCCAGTCAGAGAAAGACAAGTATCACATGATCTCACTTTTATGTGGACAAAATAGACCCAGAGACATAGAAGCATGGAACAGACTGATGAATCTCAGAGTTAGTGGGTGGGTGGGGAGAGATTAACCAAAAACTTACATGCATAAATGCATAACCCATGGACACAGACAATAAGTATTGTAGTGAAGGCCTTGGAGCTGGGGGTGTGGGTTCAGGATGGAGGGGGCCAATAGGGGGAAAAGGGAGCCATCTGCAATACTTTCAACAATAAAGATAAATTTTAAAAAATCTATACTAATAAAAGGGCAATATGCTAATTAGACCAGACATCTTCCAGACATCCTTACAAACAAAGCCATGGTGGTGGGGGCCGAGGCAGAGGCGGTTAGGGGTGATCAGGCCAGCAGGGGAGAGCAGTTAGGGGCAATCAGGCAGGCAGGCAGAGTGGTTAGGGGTGATTAGGTAGGCAGGCGAGTGGTTAGGAGCCAGTGGTCCCAGATTGGAGAGGGTGTAGGCCGAGCTGAGGGACACCTCCCCACCCCCCATGCACGAATTTCGTGCACCAGGCCAGGACCCTAATAATACATTAAAAAATTAGCATACCTATTTGAACCTTAAAAAATAAAATAATTAAAAAATAAATAAAATAACCCTGACTGGTTTGGCTCAGTGGATAGAGCGTCAGCCTACAGACTGAAAGGTCCCAGGTTCGATTCCAGTCAAGGGCATGTACCTTGTTTGCAGGCACATCCCCAGTAGGTGTGCAGGAGGCAGCTGATCGATGTTTCTCTCTCATCGATGTTTCTAACTCTCTATCCCTCTCTCTTCCTCTCTAAAAAATCAACAAAATGTATTTTAAAAATAAACAAATAAATAAAATAAAAAGCTGTTGAGTTAAATATAGAAAATACTACTTTTCACTGTTGTACCATAGTACTCAGAATTAAAGTCTCCCTTCTAGAGCCATTTATCAATTTCTGCATATTTTCCACTGAATTTGCTTTCTATATGAAAAATGCACATACTTTCATAAAATTTATTTCTTAGAATTATAATAAGACAATGATAAGGGAAAGATGAACAATAAGTAGTACTGGGAGGAACACAGCATGTGAGAAAAATGACATGGTAATAAACACAAATGAAGTATTTACTAAAAATTCATGCTACAATAAAATCTGCATGTGCATTTAAGAGTCTACCAGTGGTTTCTATCACCTACCTTTGTAAGGGTAATCAAATCCTCATCTCTCTCAAAAACTTGTCAAAACCTCATTTTGATATTTTAAAACTTTTTGTATGATATATTCTCTCTCTTTCTTATTTTGAGATGGGAAAACAAAATAAGAAGTGAAATACAAGCAAACAAAAAACAGGAAAGGGGAATTCTCTCTCCCAATTTTCCAACCACAAAATAACTGTTTTTCTTCCATGTGATAAACGGAGATAGCATATATCACACTATTGTAAAATGTAAAGAAATTGCACCATTCCTAGGGTTTGTTTGAAAAGTCAAGATTATAAAGGAAAAACTGCAGTTCATCAACTATTCTTGATTAGGGGACTATCTGTTAGAGAACATACTCTGCCATCTCTCAATTATGCTCAATACAGGCAACTGTTCCTTAATTATTAAAGCAAAATGTTACTTTTAACACCTGCTAAAGAAGTTAGCTTGCATATAGGGCTATGTTGTTTAAAACGTGCATATTCTGAGCAAGAATCACACTCACAGTGAGACATTCACAGTTTATAAGAAAAATGGGGTCTGTAATTGTGAGACAGCACGTATAAGCTCATTAAATGAATACCAGGGACAGGTTTTTAGGAAAAGTAAAATGAGGGGTTACAAAAGAATATAGTTAAATTCATTAAGTTAAACATGCATATGATATAGTTCAAATATATTGTCAGGGTGTCAAGGAAAACTATAACTAATTTTGCAATCCTACAATTCTCTTTTCAAATAATGAAATTTCAAATCTTTTCGAATAGCTCCGAGTAAATTTCCAAAA